AAGGCTTTGTTGTGATGGGAAGGGTGTGAAGGGCAGCGCCCCTCATCTCCAAGTGCCCAACGGGACACGGGCTAGAGCAGAAGGTCCGTGGGAGCTCCACGTCCCCAGGCACTGAGGCCAGGCGCTGCAAAGAAGAGGTCCCCTCAAGTCCAGGTGAGTCTGGGGGGACGTCGCCCCAGGGAATTCCCATGCTCCTTGCCTCTGCTTTGCGGTAGGACTCTACCTTTGAACTAATGAAGACGAGACTCAAATCTACATCCAAGCATGGGAAGGGGCATGGCTCGTGCAGAGGGATTTTGCCCGCAGCACAGAGGGGACCGGAGGTACGAGTGAAGGCAAGCAGAGTGTCAGAGACAGCAGCAGCCAGAACAGCCCGGAGAGAAGTGATGTGCTCGTGAGTCAGCGCCGCGAGGTCTCAAACCTGCCCCAGAGCTGCTGCCTCCCCCCGCTGCTGGTCCTTCTTCCTTCTTGTACATGATCCCGTTGCTCATCGGCGTCCCTCTCTGCCTCACCCGCTACTCCTCGCCTCTCACTCTCCTCTGCCGGGCTAGTCAGCCTGGTTTTCTTAAGAGCTAATGGAATAGAAACACCGACAGAAACGGGCTAATATTGTCACTGTTCCTGCTGTCACACCGTGTGTCACTGTCACGGCAAGCAAAGGCCATCAAATGTTTCTATTTGCAGCACGCGCCGTATTGCGCCATCTCTTTCCTTACTGCCCTGTCCCCCCAAAGCCCGTGGGCTCCGGGGTACCCAGGGAAAGGCCCCCCTCCCCAGGAAGGAGCTCTGACTCTCCCTTATGGCCTTTTTGCCCATCTGCTGATCTGTTCTCCCTGGGACAACCCAGGGAGGCACCATCGCTCTGCTCTCAGGCCGCTCCCATATTCTCCCCATCCCTTCTCTGTTTTCCTTTTCTTTCGCTTTATTCTCCAGCACTCATTGCTTCCTCGCCTCCCTTTCCCTGCCCTTCAGCACCCGCACACCCTGTGCAAAGCCCTGGTGCCCGTGTCCCGGGTGGGGCTCCTCTGTGACAGCCAAAACCTTTTTTCCTCCCCCGATATCGTCCGTTAGGGTTCTCTTTCCAAAGGGATGGCAGCGGTGGTCCGAAGCTGGGGCTGTTTTCTGCTCCCTGCGACGAATGCTGACTCAGCTCCATGCTGGCTCAGGGGGACGCCGACACTGAGATGCATTCTATTCCATGGATCCGGGTGGCTGTCAGTCCCAAGAGGACTGCGGTCCCCAGGCCAGCTCTCTCTGAGCTTTCTTAGGAGAGCTCTGGGAATCTGGGGGTGGAAATGGGGAGCAGGGAGACCTTTTCATTTTGCCAAGA